ATGTGTGGGACATAATTTTCCTTTACATACTAATACTAGAGAGTATAAGCAAACCTTAATAACATTATTAACGTATTTAAAATAAATCTTTAGTACTTATAGATTTACTTTTGCATAGAGACTGGACTAAATAAGATAAACATCTTCTACAGGTGTGGCTGGATAGTAACAGAAAAATGGTCAACGCAGAAGGTGGTTCACTCTCTTTCAAGACTTTCGTCAACACCAAAAAGATGCCAAAAATTCACCAGTGTCCTTACTGTACCTTCAGTAGCAAAAATAATTCTCATTTTATAGAACATTGCCGCACACATACCGGAGAAAAGCCTTTCTCTTGTCCACATTGTTTGTATCAGACTGGTGATAAGTCTAATCTAAAAAGACATATTCGGACACATGCTGGAAAATTGCCTTATTCTTGTCCATATTGTCCTCATCAGTCTCATGAAAAAACCTTTATGAAACAACATATGCTCACTCATATGTAATTCATTCATGTTAATAAAATGTAATATTGTTTTTTTATACAATTGCATTATGCTAGGATATTTTATGAAAATTTTGTCATGCAAAATCTTAATTAGAGTATGAAATAAGATTGCATTCATTGATTTGCAACAGCCTGACTGACCAATGTTTTAACATAGAAACCTGGTATAAGACTGGGTTACGTTATTTATAACATGTGTATTATAACTGCCAGAAGTAATAAATTTCTGGCAAAGTTCAGACAAAATCTCAATAGATTTGGTTATATTACAATAATTCAATCACAGAAGGTTACCATACATTGACAAAATACATTTATTTTATATACAGGAAACCCTCTTATAAGGTGACACCACATAACACAATTTTGCCTATATGCAATTGAAAACTGCTTTTTTTTTTTTTTTTTTTTTCATAGTTCTTGAAAAAGCCTTGATAATAAGCATAGAAGTATAAAATTACATGCAGAATCATGGTAGTCTGTGGTGTGGAATTTTTCCATTCCAACCCAGGTTGGGCTTATGTGTCAAATGTTTCAAAAAACACAGCTCTTCCCCTCCCCCCACTGCTACTGATGCTGCCTACATTTGCTTTAAGGGAGCATCATGTGCCTTATTCAGTGTTTATTAAATGATTTTGGATTTTTTCATCATTCCATCTCATCTCTGAATATTAACTATGACACTGAGGAGGAATAATATTACTGGAGGTGCCAAGAAGAATAAGCCTAAAGCTCTTAAGATGCTGACAAAAGTGGAAATTTTAGATATGTTTCCAAGGGGTGGTTGTGTGATGCAGACTACCCACAATATTGGTCTGAGAGAATCCACCATCCATACAATTAGAGACAATAAGAGCTTATTCAATGAATAGGGCAAATTGTGGTGTGGTGAAAAGAATGGCAAAAAGATGGTACAGCTAAATGAGACTGATGAAGATGAAGTAGAAGAACCTCTTGATAAACATTTATCACTTCAACAGTTATGTAAGCAGTTCCATGTTATTGATAAAATTGCAGACTTTTTCACTGAGGACCCTGTCACATCTAGAAGTATTGCTTTGAAGTGGGTCTGGAGCAACTGATGATGCTGTATTGTCAGTCATATAAAATATCATAGGGTAAAACAGAGATACATTACAGAATACTTGAGCATTCCAGTACAACCACCAGCCACTACCAACTCTGCAACTGCAGAAATGCAAAAACTACAGCCATCTACCTCTGCCCAGTAGGGCCACATTAACCCTCTTCATACACTTCCATGTTAACAAGCAATGAAAACTAAAATATAAGGTAAGATTAACTGTAATAATTTGTATCTATTAGAGTGTTTAAAAAAAGAGTTATTTGGTATATATGGAAGTCTCTGGAACACAGCCCTATTTTTCTCATATGTTCTCCACTTAATATATCTCTAATTTCCATAAGGTACCAATTTTTAGGAATGTATCCAATGTGTTATGAGAGGGTTTACACATTTATTTCCTAATTTATGATGCTATAAGCTTGAATAGTTTATAATATAGATCTACAGCCCTATGGTAAACTGTTTATCACAAGCCTATCGTTCACCTTTCGTGAGTACATTTTGAATATGACATGATTTATTTTGCAGTCAACAAATGTCTATGGTTTGATACACCAAAATAAAATCCAGTAACAAAATCCACAAATTCAGCATGCCCTTTCAGGCTGATACCATCAGTTTTTATTTGGACACTATTAGTGCTCAAAAGAGCATTGAGACTTAAAGAATTCTCCCATGACAAATATTTTAAAGGATTTATAGTGTGTGGTATTGTCCAAGAAGGTAATGGCTACAAATTCAGATTTTTTGCACAATCTAAAGACATGCCTGAATCTTCAAACACAGTAACAAATGTCAAAGAGTAAATCCAAACAAATTACAGTGTAGTACTTATATCTGAAACTAGTAGTGGGTGCCTACAGCTTGACAACTGTACCTCTGCACCTGAGAGATAACTACTTTTTTCTGAGCATCTGCCTGCTACTGATAAGAAATAGGCTTAAAAGAGGTCATATTTGAACAGTCATGATTTTGGTGGGAAGACTGTGCTTCAAACTGTGCTTCAGGGAGTACCACATCCTGAAACACATCTCTTAAAATGATTAACACTTGTGAATATTGTAAATACCCCTTTGCCACTGCTCCCCCCCCCCCCAAAAAAAAAAAAAAAAAAAAGTAATTTTATGTGATAGAAATTACAGACAAATTGGTGCTATGAATAATTTCTGCTGCCAGCATGACTAGGTATCAGGGATCTAATCTTTATAGCTCTTTAGAAAAGTGAGTCATTAATATTTTTAATCATTGTGAATTATTTAACATGCACTACGTTGTTATGAGAAAAAATTGCAGAAAAGCAACCACTGGGAATTGGCAAGGTATCAGCTGGTAATTTAACTGATAGGTAAAACAAGTGGACATCAGCTACTGTTCTGAAGATAGCTCTACAGATGCTTGTTGAAAGACTGAAGATTAGTCAGGGAAGATACAGGGTGGCAGCTTGTCCTACAGAATGGCTGCAGAACTAAAAAAACAAAGAGGCAGCATGGTGTTCTAAGATTAGCAACAGACAACATTTTTAAGAGACTGGAGGTTAGCAACAGACAGCATCCATGAGAAAAGACTGCAGTGTAAATATTATGTGACTGTATATGAGTAGAGGATATATAATTTGCAAGTTCCTGAGAACAGAAACTATGGAAACATTGTAGCAGTAGAAGAGAGACTGCATTCTTTCTCCTCATTTGTGTATACAAAAAAGGCCCTGTTATATGACTACAATAGGACCTGGAGTTGGTCGAATAACAAAAATTAATAATAATTACATGGATAGATATTTATATAAGTACTGTACTGTGCAGTATAGTGAACCGTTCGTCTACAGTATGCATCATAAATATGCACTCCTATAAGTACACTTTTAGCAGGCTATATGCCTAACAGATTCAAGAAGTCCCAGAACAACACTTGTATGGAAGATGGTGCCCTTTTCAATAGTAATACGTACTGCCAAAGTCATAAGAAATGGCTAAATTGTTCTGATTTTTCCATATTTCAATGACTGGCCTGGAACATTTGGAAACTAATTAGAGCATAAACTTCATGGCATGGATGTTTCCTCTAACCCCCATTAAGCAGGTGTAGAATGGTATTGACTTTTCTATTCTCCATAATTTAGCCTTTTCAGTGCCTAGGAGACTTAAGGTGTGTATCAAGAGGAAGGGTAATCCTATGAAATACTAGTTTAGGTAAGGAACACATACATATTTTAGTATTATATATTTAAAATAGTAGTAGGTTATGGTGAATAGTCTTGTTTTCTGTGATCTGTTTATGTGCGTGCATATTTATGATGCCTACTTCATACACATCAAAATTAGTTGTATTATTATAAATACTGTAAATGTTAAATAAAATTTTAATACACTGTAATTTGTTCACTGTAGATCATTTTACCTAAATCATATAACTCATATATAATTTAATTATAAAAGAATAAACTTAAAAATATTATCTTTAGATTTTAAGATATCATCACTAGTTTTCTCCAGTACTGTATTATGCTCATTGCCTCTAGGGGAAGGATTGCCTTAATGTTGGTGAAGGGCTCTTCATTCAAAGAATGAAGCTACTTCTCCTTCCTTGGAGCAAACCTAATTTATTCTCATTCTCCAGGCTCTTTATCCCCATATGGATTTAGTGCTTCTCCATAATAATGATGTGTTATATTCACTAATTATCTGTACTTTAAGAATACCTTGCTCACTGCATTTCATTCCAGTTTTCTGCCTAATAATAATAATAATAAATACACACTTACTCTTCTATGGAGTGACTAATAACACATTTACGTGCTTATTCATTATCAGTACAGTATTATTTAAGTTTTAGGTTTCTTTCATGTACAGTATATAATTCAGTAGCAAGAGTGAATATAATTCAGTAGCAAGAGTGAATATAATTCAGTAGCAAGAGTGAATATAATTCAGTAGCAAGAGTGAATATAATTCAGTAGCAAGAGTGAATATAATCAGTAGCAGAGGAATATAATTCAGTAGCAAGAGTGAATATAATCATAGCAAGAGTGAATATAATTCAGTAGCAAGAGTGAATATATCAGTACAAGAGTGAATATAATTCAGTAGCAAAGTGAATATAATTCAGTAGCAAGAGTGAATATAACTAAGAGTGAATATAATTCAGTAGCAAGAGTGAATATAACTAAGAGTGAATATAATTCAGTAGCAAGAGTGAATATAATTCAGTAGCAAGAGTGAATATAATTCAGTAGCAAGAGTGAATATAACTAAGTGCGAATATAATTCAGTAGCAAGAGTGAATGTAACTAAGAGTGAATATAATTCAGTAGCAAGAGTGAATATGACTAAGAGTGAATATAATTAAGTAGCAAAAGTGAAATTAACTAGAGTGAATATTCAGTAAAAGTGAATATGACTAGTGATATAATTCAGTAGCAAGAGTGAATATAATTCAGTAGCAAGAGTGAATATGACTAAGAGTGATTATAATTCAGTAGCAAGAGTGAATATAATTCAGTAGCAAGATTGAATATAACAATCATCAAGTGATAAACTCCAAACTATCAAGCCAAAAGTAATCTGAGTCTCAGATGAAGCTTGCCACCCATACATCCAGGTCAGATGCTTGGCATTTGATCTATCTAGGGTACATGAAGGTAAAGTTGAGTTAATGGGAATGTTCATAAATTAATAAAATGACTTGTATATGGTATGTAACCCATCATTTTCAGTGCACATTATCTCATCGAACACAAAAGTATTTTGAAAGTTGAATTACCTCCATTCAATATGACAGTGAAGAAATGTTGAAGCATACAAATCTGTGAAGAGTGATACTGATAGCGTGAGTGATGAATAAGTCTGAGTTATTAATATGTTGTTGTATAACTTGTTTAAAGGAAATGGGAATTTTTTATAATGAAAACCAATTTGATTGCCAGTAATAATGAATGACTTTTATATGTATATAAAAAATTAGGACTCTTAAGTTTCTCATCAAATACAATTGTAATTTGTCATGCATTTACCTCCTAATTATATTATTTGTAAATAAAATAAACATTTTCTGCAGGTGTGGTTGGCTAATGAGAGTCAAATGGCTGATGAAGAAGGAATCTCAGGTGTTGAGAAGTCTCTCCTCAGCACCAGAAAGATGGCAGAATTGCATCAGCAGCCTTACTATGCATATAGAAATGCGAACTCTTCTAGCAATGTAAAACACCACACAAACAATTCTAAAGAAAAAAATTATTTGTGCTCTCTTTGCTCGTATGAAACAAGTGTAAAGTCCAATTTAGCTAGGCATATCCATATCCACACTGGAGAAAAGCCATTTGCCTGTCCATATTGTCCTTACCGATCTCATGAAAAGCCTAAAATTAAGAGACACTTACATACTCATAAGTAAGCACCTAACTTGTTCCACCCACCTACTCTCACACACATCTTATCACAATATATTCCCTGCATTATAGTGCTTTTAAGTTTAATGGAGTTAACTTTCCTATGTGAAGTTACTTTGTATGGTTTCATTTAGTGAAGGCACCTAAAATTCCTATTTCATTTAAACATTAGGCACTTTATATTTAAATTACAGTTTATGTGAAAATAAGTTTTATGTTCATAATCATGTAATTTGCTATATACTGTAATAAAGAAATCATGTGTTTATTTTATTTCTTTTTCCTTCACTAAAATTTAATATATAAATTTTAGTATAGTATTTGTTTATACTTAATCTGGTAGATATACTATAAGTCTTAATAAGATTTCTTAATTTTTAATTGTAAAATATAATGAGACTGAATTCTGCCACTGAAGAAGATAACAATTCCCTACAGGTGCGGATGAATAGTGACAGCCAAATGGTTGGTGACAAAGACATCACTGGAGCTCAGAAGATGTTCGGAACCAACAAAAAGACGCCAAAGACATACAAGTGTACTCACTGTTCCTTCTTCAGTACAAAGCGTTGTAATTTTGTTGAGCATTATCGAATTCATACAGGCGAGAAACCTTTCTTGTGTCCTCAGTGCTCTTATCGAACAGGTGTCATGTCCAATTTGAGGAGGCATTTTCGCATTATTCATGCTGTAGAGAGATCACAGCCTTACCATTGATCCTTATATTTTAAGTTATTGAAGCTTTTGTTAAATATTATACAGTCAAACCCTATTTATTTGGAATCTCTTAGCTTGGAAACTCAGAAAATTTGGTTTGGTTCTCAAGGTAAAATCAAGATATTTCCCTTTTTTATGTTTTCATACAATGAAAGTTTGAATTAATCAGGGCTGGAGGTGTTCTGAACATAGGGTCTATCTGAAATAACTAACCTTAATAATCTAGGGAAGGTATGTCATAGACAAAACATTACACATCAATAAAAAGTGGCCCTCCCTAGTGCCTGTTATCCTTTTCCTCCTGTAAAGTACATATACTGGTGGTCAAAAAAAAAAAAAAATGCTGTCAAAAATTGAAGGTATTTTGAGGTTGATGAATTCGAAAATGGCAGTAGGTTTTTTCAAACTGGCTCTAGTTTGTGAGATACTGCATACCTACCCTCAATTAACAGGGAGCTCAGCCATAATGTGTGTATATTTATATGTAGTGACAATTTGTATATACAGATAGTTTTAACCTCTTGACTGTCGCAACCCCAAATCCCAAGGTGTCTCCTAGTGTCGCAAAATTTCCAAAAAAAAAAAAAAATATTTTTATGAAATGACAGAGAATCTTTTCTCGATTGTAATGACACCAAACGAACGAAATTTTATGTAAAACTGATGGAATTATGCTCTCGTGAAGTTAGCGACCTCGGCTATATTTACGAATCGGCAATTTCACCCACTTTGAGCCCTATTTTCGGCTAATTCCATTGTTCCAGTCGACCAAACTCATAGCTATTTCTTTAGAACTCCATTTTTTCTATCAATTGAGTACAAGAAACTGCCCATTTACCAATTTCAACTACCCAATAACGTGGTCAGAAATTTGCAATTTGGCCAATTTCACGAAAATTAAAAAAATATGATAATTTCAAAATAGGGTCCAGAATGAACAATGCAGACATTCCTGGCTCTAAAATAACATTTTCTTTGTTCATCAGTCACATCTCCAGGCCCCTCTGATATTACTATTGCTTTCCATTTTGAATTTTTATTCTAACAAAAAATAGAAGATTTACTGTTATGCAGACTACTGCAATATTGTAATAATTGTATAAATAATGTCAACCCATTCATAACTGCATATTAGAATGGCTACTTGGACATTTATTGAAAAATGACATCATTTGTTTACTTTTGAACATCGGGAAAAATCAAACATTTCCTCTACTTTGAGCTCCATTTCAAGGTTCTTTTCTTAATAAAACCAATCAAAATCACCTTTACTTCTATAGCATGTTTTCCATTCTATCAAATGAGACCAAGAAAACAAGAATACAACCATAAATACTATACGAAAATAGACCACAAAGTCGGCATTTTAATTAAAAAAACGGCCGGAGTTTTATTTTCTTATTATGCACTGCACTGCGTGCTGCAGGATTTTTTTATATGTTGCACACTGACCACACAGACCCATTCTCTCACATGTGGGCCTACCAGCTTTCTCCTGCTTGATTTGAAGCCACTAGAATTTATGAGTATATACACGTCAAAAACGGTGGCTCGTAAGAGGTATATATAGTACGACCAAAACAGTCAAAGGGTTAATAAAAATTAGAACTTTATTTTTAAATGATTTGATATATGTATAACGAAATATCAACTATGACCATATGGCAGTATTGTAACCCTTATTTTGTTATTTTTTCCAGATAAACATGAGTTATTTATGAAAAGCCTGCTTAAACAATCCCAATGCATTTTGCTACATTTGCAAAAAAACAAAGAAAAACATCACAGATTTTGTAAAATAAACCTATCTTGTTTTTTGGGGAGTGGCACTTGGAGAAAAAGACAAATCATGGACTCCCCATATGTTTTGTAAAACCTGTGTAGAATTCCTTTGACAGTGGAAAAATAGGCAAAGGAAATGTTTAAACTTGTCTATGGTGTGGAGAGAGCCGAAAAACCACCATAATGATTGTTATTTCTGTACAGTGAATGTGAAAGGTTTCAGTCGATAACAGAAAGTCAAGTGGGAATATCCTGATTTAGAAGTCAGATGGTAAACCTTGTGCCATACAGCAAAGACATTCCTATACCAGTGTTGCAACACTGCCTGACCCTCCATCATCAAATGTTTAAGAAACTCAGGGATTAGGATGTAACACAGGTGATAGTGGTGGAAGTGAATATGAAGTAAACATTTCAACACCCCAGCAGTTCTCCAAAGAAGAACTCAGTGATCTGATACGTGACCTCAGTCTGTCAAAGCAAGCATCTGTACTTTTAGCATCCAGACTAGAAGATAAGAACTGTCTACAACAAAAAGTTAAAATAGCAGCCTATTGGACAAGAGAGGTTGAACTCATTCTTCCTTACTTTAGCCAAGATGAAGAACTTGTATACTGCATTAACATCCTTCGAATGGCGGCTGTTTATAGACAGCCCCGTTAGAAGCTTGAAATGTGTCTTATTGCACAATGGCAACCAATATTTATCTTATTATCTTAACCCTTTGAGGGTCGACAGGCCCTCTCCGAAACTCGTTCTCAGGGTCGGCCAAATTTCAAAAAAAAAAAAAATTATTTTTTCTTATGAAAAAATAGAGTTTTTTTTTCTAAACATTATAGGATAAACAAAAAAAATTTACCATCAATACTTACGGAGATATGGATGCATGAAATTTTGCAGAAAATGAGCGCGTATGGCAACAGCGGCGACTGCCGCCTCACCGTGTAAACTTTAGTTTACTTGTATTGAAGGTTTGTTGTCTTTTTTCACATATTTTATTTTTCACATAATTATGTGGCCTGTGAGACCAAGTATAGGTGCAATGTACATATATACCTCGTTGTATCAACACAATAAGCACACAAACATTAATTATCAATATATTGTTTACAAAACTTTTTACAAAAAAAACAATACTAAAACATTGTTTATTATTATTGTTCTATAATATATATCCAATATACAGTCATGAACATTTTCCTATTAGTTTGCAGTGTGGAACTCTGAAACATGGTGTATACACAATGGTGTTTTATCTTTCTCCCTCATTTATCTCTTTCAATCTGTCTCTCTTTCTATCTGTCTATCTATCTTGTCTCACAGGTACACATAAATACAAGTATACATAGTATAAATTAACTAGGATAACCAAGAAATCCAGAACAAAGTGCTATACTCTGCTTGAAGATGTGAGTAAAATATGTATGACACAGTCTTGTGGCTCTCTGAGACAGAGAGTAGACGGATAGACAGATAGACAGGGAGTTGACAGACAGACAAATAACAGAAGAATGTTGTGTACCGTACAGTGTACTAGTGTTCCACCTCCTCCTCCTTTCTTCCTCTTCCTCCTCTTCCCCCTACTCTTCCTCATACTCTTCCTCTTCCTACTCTTCCTTTCCTCCCTTCCTCTTCTCCTAACTCTTTCCTCTTCCTCTCCTCCTCTTCCTCCTCCTCCTCTTCTTCCTCTTCCTCCTACTCTTCCTCTCCTCCTCTTCTTCCTCTTCCTCCTCTTCCCCCTAATCTTCCTCGTACTATTCCTCTTCTCCTCCTCTTCCTCTTATTCCTCTTCCTCCTACTCTTCCTCTTCCTTCTCCTCCTCTTCCTCCTCCTCCTCTTCCTCTCCTCCTCTTCTTCCTCTTCCCCTACTCCTTCTCCTCCTTGTCCATAGTGTAAATTACAAGGAGTCCGCAGCTGTCAAAGTGACATATTAGCTCATTACTCTTTCCCCTCGGCCTGTCAAAACATGGGGTCGGATGCTGCTTCCCTCCTCCATTCTATCTAATTATCTTTCTCCCTCATTCTATCTGTCTGTCTATCTCTGTCTCACAGGTACACATAAATACAAGAATACATGGTATAAATTACTAGGATAACCCAAGAAACCCAGACAAAGTGCTATACTCTGCTTGAAGATGTGAGTAAAAGTGATGACGCAGTCTTGTGGCTCTCTGAGACAGAGAGCTAGATGGATAGACAGGGAGCTTGACAGACAGGCAAATAGACAGACAGAAATGTTAGTATACCAGCAAAAACAAAGGGAGGGCGATGTTCATCTCATCTTTTGGCATCAGCTCTACCCTCATTTACCCTCATCAAAACGTCAGCACTTATCAGATGTTATCTCCCCTTATCGTGTTACTGTCATGGGTGAACATTTATTATTACATATTATTATTATTACCTATTATTATTATTATGTATTATTATTATTATTATTATTATTATTATTATTATTATTATGTATTATTATTATGTATTATTATTATGTATTATTGTTATCATTACGTATTCTTCTTCTTCCTCCTCCTCCTCTTCCTCCTCCTCCTCTTCTTCCTCCTCCTCCTCCTCTTCTTCTTCCTCCTCCTCCTCCTCCTCCTCCTCCTCCTCCTCCTCTGCCTCCTCCTCCTCTTGCCTCCTCCTCCTCTTGCCTCCTCCTCCTCTTGCCTCCTCCTCCTCTTGCCTCCTCCTCCTCTGCCTCCTCCTCCTCCTCCTCCTCCATTCTTGGAACAAGTCTGAAGAGCTTGTAGTTCATAATCACTATCATTATCATCACCAATGCTCACATCTGAGTCTGGGATTTTGGGAAATAGGAGTTTCCTCTTTGATTCTGGTACAACTGAACGTGAACAAGATGGCCCAGCACCAGAGGTGGAAGGCTGTGGGTTGTCTGGGTTTTCCTCACTATTACCCATATTATGGTCATTAGTTTCGGTCAAAACCTCACCAGAACCTTGAAACTCATCTTCACTGTCACTTCCATCTGTATTAGAACTGTCACTGGGGAACAAAAGTGTCCCAATTCGCCGAGGAGTGAGGAACTTCTTACCACAGGGCACGGTGGAAATTGTGTACTATGATGGCATTCCCACAATGCACCACTGGGTCCCAGATTTTTTTCCTACTGCGCACACCCACCACACAGACCCATTCTCTCACATCTAGGCTTATCAGCCTTTTCCTGTGAGATTTGAGGCCGCTAGAATTTATGCGTACTAGTACGACAAAAACCCCTACGCGTAAGACGTACTAGTACGACGAAAACCCTCAAAGGGTTAATATGAATCTCTTCCAACTGCTCACACAACTAAACTTAAAGAAGAATAGAAAAATATCAGAATGGTATTGCAGAAGCTTTGCTATCATGGGCACAAGATGTCTGTTTATGTTGATCTGAAGATGGTAAACTTCTTGCCTGGGCAACAGAGTGGATATACAAAGTACCCTTGTTTCATCTGTTTGTGGGACAGTAGGGCAAAGGCAGATCACTGGACAACAATGATATCCTTCAAGAGAAAACATGACTGTAGGTGCAGCAAACATCATTAACCCTTTGA